TGAAGTAGAAAAAAAGTTTCAATGGGATTAGAGAACTATCGCCGAAGGATCAGAATATTAGGACAGGATTGCGTGAGCTTGTGAATTACTTGAGAGAGAATATTTTAGTTTACCGTTGGAAAAGGTAATTAAGTTAGCAGACAGTGTTCAAGTCGTCCAAACCTCGTCCAATCCAAATCCTGAGCAGGATGGAAAGATGCAGCAACCAGCATGGACGTATAAGTATAACAAGGAATTGTTCAGATTGTTCAGAAATGAGACCAGCTACCGCGACTAGAGACACCGCAGTATGAACCATGTACAACGTACGGGTCCTGAAACTGAAAAGCAAGTTGCAAATTTATCAAATTAATAATATTCAGCATTCTAATGTTGTGGTTGAAAATAATTTACCTATAATATTTGAACCGTAAATGGAAGGGTTAAAATATTGCGTGAGACGGGAGCATCTGCGGTGCTAGTGCGAAAGCACTGGTCAAGTCTAGCGACAAAATTATTGACAAACCAATCGGGCTAAATTTTGTTACTAATTCTCATGTGACAGTCGCTACAGCTCGGATTGGACTAAATTGTCCGTTGCATTAGCGGTTGATCCACTCCCAAGGTATTTTATTGGAGATAATTTACTCCTTCGTGAATGTTACAAAAGCAAGCAGGTACGTAACATAGTTACACAAATAGTTCTTTCTGCCTGTTGGTCATTGCGCTCGTGTGATGAAGGTAGCGTACGACAGTATTTGGGCAGGACACGTAGGACAGCATTTGGGAATGATCGAATTCTAGATTCACCCAAAGATCGAATTCTCGATCATTTCTGTTGGCCTGGTAATTATTTATACAGACATTAGGAGGTTTTGCTAGTCGTGCAGTCTTTGCCAAAAATTGAGTGATACGAAACCTACTAGAGCTCCAGTGATCTCTGTTCCTGTAATAGGAAAACCTTTCCAACGTGTTGCAATATATTTCGAATGACCGCTCAGTAAAGCAAGGAAGAATAACAGATTAGTTCTTGTAGCAATTGACTAAGCAACGAAATACCTAGATACGGTATAGCTTTAAAAACCATAGATACCGATGGAGTTGCGGAGGCAATAATAGAAATTTTTAGTAGAGTGGGGTTACCGACAGCATGACCAGGAGACTAATTTTATGTCGGACGTTATGGCTATAATAAATTCCTTGCTTCAAATTGAGATGGTAACAACAACGCCTTATAAACCTAGTTGTGACGGAAAGTGCGAGGCCTTCAAAGTATTGAAGAAAATGTTGAGAAGAATTGCGAATAATAATTCATTGAACTGCGATAGGTAGTTAAGTCCTTTGCTTTTGCCTGCAGGGAAATGCCGCAGAGTAGCAAGGGTTTTCTTCCTTTGAATTTCTTTTTTGCTTTGATGTCCGAGGTCCTTTGTTTTTGTCTAAGGAAAAGTTTTTGAACTGAGTTGAGGACGAGGAGCAGATTCATGTAACAGAGTACGTCACGAACATTAGGCAGAGATTAAGAGAATTTTTGCACGTTTGCAAACGTAATGAGACAAGCGAGAAATATATGCAAAAATTGTAGTACGACCTTCGTAGTAGGGCGAAGAACTTCAAAGTAGGCAGAACATACTGGTGAAGACGATAATAAAGTGAACATACTGGTGCAAGACGATAATAATTCGTTCGTCACTAAAGTTTATGGGAAACCTACAGACGTCGGAAAAGTCCTGAACCAAGAAAGCGAATGTCCCCAACGCTACAAAATCAGCACCATACGTGCTCTCATCCATCGAGCGTTCAAGACCTGTACATCCGCTCGTGACTTAAAAACTGAACTCCGGACCTGCAAACAAATTCTTGTTCAAAATAAACTATATTGTCCAATTGGAAGATAGACAAAAAGTGCATCATGTTGATATCCTGAAAATTTCTAAAGACCGAATTGTGTTGATTAATGGATGGGCAGGCGGAGAAAATTTTGTTGGAAGAGATCGCTGCAATTCCCGTCCATTGAAGGAAGGTGAGAGTGAGATTGTGTAGGTACAAATGTGCAGATAGTCTGCTGAAGCCTGAACGAGCTGTCTTTATGAGCAGAAGAAATCATTTGACAAAATTCACATGCATGTTACGCATAGAGGTGTTTTCAGGAGTATTCCTGGAAGAACTAATTTGATTAAGTACGATCCTAATGAAAGTACTTTTACTAAGGTTGGTACTAATGAAAGACCAATAATTGCTTTAAGAGCCCAATACAATACAGTTTCATTTGCGTGAAAAAGTTAAGGAAGAGATTTATATGTGGTTGCGAATTGGGATTATCAAAGCATCTTGGAGTCCGTGTGCTTCACAAGTAGGCACACTTATCAAGAAGGATAAAAATTTGCGTTTTGACTATAGGAAACTTGAGACGCATGTGATGGTTGGTCCGTATCCTATGCCAATCTTGGATTATGTTCTAAACAAATTAGGAACAGATCGATTATTGGTTGGATTTAACATAGGCATCCTTTCAGATTCCGTTTACCGTAAATGCATCTAAATAAACTTCATTTATTTTGACTATGAACAATATGAATTCTGTCTCGTGCCGTTTGGTATTAAATTTGCTAGTGCCGTGTGTAATAGAATTACTAGAGGACTAATTAGATACTTGCCTTTGTAGATCCATTTGTGGACGACATAATAATTTTCAGGGAAGTGTTTGAAAAACATGTTCAGCACGTAGATTTAGTTTTGTCAACATTTTCAGATGCTGGGCTATCGATTAATATAAGCAAATGTTTGTTTGGTGCAGCTCACATCAAAGTTCTAGGATTTATTGTGGGAGCAGGCGAAATATCGTCGGATCCTTCCATACTTGAAGCTGTGAGCAAACTCCCAGAGCCTTGGGACAGGAAGGACATGCGTTCATTTCTGGGATTGTAACAATTTGTTCATAGATTTGTAACGAAACTGTTAATTATGTGTGTAAATTGTATGTAATTATTGTATATTAAGTAGGTAAATGTCAATGTATATATTATACATTGTTCGATACACTGTCCTGATGTAATGTATCGGTGCAAGTTGTCCTAATGTAATTTGCTGGACCTCGGAAAACTTGGTGTGATTTGAGAAAGTTAAGACGGAAGTGAATTGACCATTACTAGACGGAAATGTATTGACCATTCCCAAGCCTGAAGGCAGATCTGCATTGCAAACTGATTCATGTGTTCTTGAAAATTCCTGCTGTTATATTGCTGATCAAAGACGAGAGTGAGAAGCCAATAGGTTACTTCAGTAGGAAGTTGCGCTAGAACGAAGAGAAATTCACCACTATCGAGAATGAATGTTTGCATTTGTGTGTAATTCAGCAACTGCAGAGGTGCCGACAATGTTCTAGTCCGGGTTTGTATTCTACTGGATCTGTTGATGTTGTGTTTGCTACCTTGTGTTCCCTAGGGTTGTATTAATATTGTGTTAGTTGATATCTAATGCTTCATTTGTTTAAGTAGGTGTGAAGAATTTGTCTAAATGAATGTACATTAGACTTTGTTCTTCTTTGGGTATCACCGTAGAACTAGCCGTTACCTGCGCATTGCCGCTCCTGTGCTCTAATTAACTTTATTCTACTATATTTATGTTTGTGCGACTCTTGTCAGCATTAATTAATATAAAGGTTTCTTTAAACTAATTCTGGAACTCGGCACGCAAGAGCACTACAGAAATGACTGGGTATAACTACAATTTTAAATTGAGATCACCGTTCGGAGGTCACGACTCTGTGACCCACTCAGAAAAGATATTCACTATTTTCAATTGATAAACAATCAATTATTAAAGTGAGTTTTTTAATCTGCCGATAGTTTCATATAAAGTACGGAAATACAAGGAGAACTCTCGGACACAGTCACTCGCTCCGAGTCCGGGAGTGACACAACCTTCCTCAGCAGAGACTTGGCCGAGACTGACACGGTCACACCTGCCGCCGCTAGATCCTACTCATTGACGGTAGCATTACATCTCGCTGTTTGTCAACTCGATTTATCCACTGGATCGAAACGTAAAGCTTCGATTTTACACAAATTTAGGAATTCTTGAGAAATTTTCTTATTTTATGGTTTGATTTTCAGAAAGGTTTGTAAACATTTAGGCGGTGCTTTTATAAAAAAGTTTGGGGCAGTGAGGCGAAAATGGCAAACCATTCTCGCCAAGGTTTCTCGCATTTGCCAAAACCAAGTGATATCATGAAGGAATCACGAGTTAGTACAGTGGATGATATTGAATATCAAGCCTTATCGTCCCCTTGCGACTTGACTTGGATGGCGCAGAAACAATTTTTTTATTGACTGTCGCAAGTATCCTCTCTGTTTCTTGAATCGGATTTCACCGCACATAAAATATACCGGCACTTCTTCACGTTACTTTGTGTAATTCGAAATTATGAAAGATAGCATTAAGGTCTCTAGCTTCGACTTATAAATATTCTAAACCAGGCATTTTTTTCTCTTCCTTCTAAAAATTAATTCTAATTTATAAATGAAGCGGGCATTCACGTATCAAACAGCTTCATCCTGTTCTCATTAATTAATTCAAGACAAGCCAATATTAGTTCAAAAAATATCAAAGTTTTTATTTTCTTCGATTTTAAATTTTGTTTTACATGCGATTTAAGCTTCCATTTTTCTTGTTTTTGAATAACGCCATTTTTTTCTTCGGGTAAAGATTCTTCATCAGAGCTCTTCATGAATTCAAAGATCAAACGTGGCGACGCTAACAGCTTGGGCGACTGAAAAGGTTTTGAAGGTTCGGCACGCGCGGCGGCTCCAAGAAAGCGTCGTACTGGGCCAAAGCTTTTCTTCATTCACAACGGCAAAAAACCCTAATACAAATCGTATACCGTATTTGTAGACTTATACAAATTCAACTTTCAGTTCGTTCAAGTTGAATCACAGTTCTATAACTAACGAGGTACTAAATAAGAGATAAATTGAATCAATTTCAGTCACACTGAATTCAAAGGTTTGGAAAGGAACAAGGAGTGCGTTTGATCGAATATATTTCACTCTCATATCTGGATTTTATTTAACCGCATACGTATATCGGTGTAACCTGAGGTCATCAGCGCAAGATATGAATCCAGTGCCAATTTTCAATTTACTACTGGATACATATTCATAAATGAAATTAGGAGAAATAGTCATAAAATACAGCATGATCGTAAAATCCACCAAGAATTCTGATGGCTCACAAATACTGTAATAGCTGCGGGCGATGGCTCCAACATTTTATAAAGGAGCCAGGAATTTGATGCTATATCAACTTCAAAAAATCCTTTATGCATTGCTAGCAATTTCTAAGAACAACTGCTAAGCTACAGAGCGTGAAAAAACCCAAGCGTAAGTGCGGTACACTGCGGCGAAAACCAGAAAATACATCACAAAAATGGTTATATATTAGGCATATATTAAGCTTACAACGAAGAATAAATCTGTGCACAGTAGTGGGGGATTAAATGAACGCAGAAGTCAAAAAGGAAGCCTTAAATAGAATAAAATGTCTCAGAACAATCCTATAGATATATTAAAAGCAAAAAGTATACCAGAAATAAACTGCCAGAAGCACAACAGACTAGCCTTGCTTTATATAAGAGATTTAGTAAAGTTGAATACTTCAACGCAAATAATTCAATCACGACAAAGATGGCTGCATAACGCGTAAGTAACACACCGTAGTTGAAGTAACGGCATTGCCTTCAAGGAGAAACAAGCTTTAAGATGAACTCCGACAAGAAAATTCAGCACACCATCCAAACACGCTTCAGTATTAATTATGATCAGGGACAACGTACAGAAATAGGAGACGTTGTTGATCCAACGACGGCCAATATTAGATCACCCACTCATTTCAGATCAACTAATTTCATAACTAAACGACTAGACTGACCGATCATTTCCCATTAATTAAACCATCGCCAAACAACTGGACTGACCACCCATTTTCCATTAAATAATTAATGAATTCCATGACAGAACTAATGGACTAGCTAACCATTTTCCGTTAATCAATTCCATTATCGTTCATAAGAGCTCTGGAAAGGCATAGTGCACGGCAATTTATCACCATGAAAGCTGCAACTCGTCCTCCTCCTCACATCTGACCACAGAGGCACAAACCTGCAAGTGAATGCCTTGTCCTCTTACACGACAACCCAAATATTCGAAAAAATAATTTCCTCTAAAGCAGATAAATGCTGATCTGTGTAAGATATAATAATGTTTCCGTAATTAAATTTTAACATCAGTGTGTGTCCTGTATTTATTTTGCAGGTAAGTTGACGATAAGAAATAAGCAGGGAGAGAACGAAGAGAAAATAGAAACAAAATAGGAAAATCGCTCAAACCTAATCATAAAAACCATAAAAATAATCGCAAACGAATCCGAAAAAATCTAAAAATTTAATGATAACGGCCTCTGAATGGATCCAATAAATAGCGATTATGTCGGAAAAAATATAATCTCAAGAAGCCTAATAAGAATGAACTTAAAGCCATGGATCACAAAGTGCAATAATAGGATAAATCATTCACAAAAGTGCAATAACCAAATTAATGGCTTGCAAAATAAGATGTAATATTTGAAATACATCAAAGAACCGAACAGTTTAACGGACGCACCAAACATGGGTTTTAAGGATACGAAAAATAATAGAATAACATGAAAATTCAAATTAGAAACTCTGAAAAGTTCAAATAAACGAAGAATGCAATTATACATTAAAAAGATTTAACCAACAGCTATTTAACAAGATCATGTCTCGCAAAAAGAACACATCACCTGACATGTTGAAAGCGGAACATCGCTTATCTTTTGCTAATAGTTCCACTTCATAGTAAATATTTATATCATTTCAACAAATAAATTTCATAAATTACACCAAAATTTGTAGAGCTCAACGTTTGGGACGGAGATTTTGCAAGTGGGTAAGCGCACCAGCCAGAACATTTACCTTTAATAATATTTTAAAATAATTGAGACCAAAAATCGTTAATCGAGTCCTATGGGAAAACTCGTGTTATCTGAATTCTCTACATAAATCTGGGACCTGAAGTTGGCCATCGAATACCTTGAAGAATCTCTCTTCGTCGTTGAAATACTCGCGAATAATCAACAATAATAAAGGTATTGTTAACCCTGATCGTCGATTGTTCTTATTAATGTCTTTATAATAATTCTAACACTAACTCTAACTTTCTAATTAAGAAAATCATTACATAGAATAGTACGTAACTACACAAAATTAGAAGGTAGCTAAGAAAAGCCTATCCGGATTCACAAATTCACAGCGGTCGTAAATTGTTAGTTTCACTATTAGCATAATTTTAGAAATTTTTGCTAATTTAGCTCGATCGATGAAACTTCTACTGCATTTCTCTATCCAATGCCCAAAATTAGAATGGTCTGTCAGATCGAGTCCACCATTTCCTGAAATTTTTTAATTCGAATGTCTGACAAACTAGAACACAAAGTGACATGAATGAGTGGGAGAAACCTGCACTCCACAGCAAAACAGGCATTGCCAGCAATTAAATATTAACAGAACACGCGGTAAAATTAGCAGGTGGGTGAGTCACCAATTGTAGATGAATGTAGATTTGATGAAGTGTAGACATTAATTTGTTAATGCTTTTAAACGCAATCAGCAACGAACGATGCAACTTCGTACTTATAGTTGCTGCAGTGGACAGTTAACTTTTATACGTGATTCAGGAGTTCACATAAATCATCTTTTATATTTAATTTAGTCATCTTAATGAAGCTCAGCTCAGGTGCCCTCGACCAGAAAAAAAAATTAAAGAATAAAAAAAAATTTTTAAGTGATATTGAAGAAATTGAACATAAATACATTAACTTTTTCCTAGAACAATATTGCACACGAAATTTGCTAAGATAAACATTTCCTTTCAAATTAGAAGCAAATAACAAATTTTAAGGAAAATTATAGAACGAAGACGGCATTAACCCAGAAGGAAAGTGAATCCATCTTGATAAATGCATTAATCGAGACTATAAGTTGCTTTCTTTACAAATCTGGAACAAATCACAATTAATTTGGTTTACGACAAAATACAACAAATATTACCAACACTTCGGATATTATTTGTTTTAGGAACGTAGCAAGAAATTTGTTCAACATTAAGATTACAATTTTCTTGAGTTCATTCAATTCTTATAACAAATAGCTTAGCCTGCCAATCTTTTCTTGCACTAAAACTCGTGTAAATCGTACAACAAAACACACTTGCAAGAACCAAGACAGGCTATCAATTCAACTTGAAGTGCGAAAAGAATAAATTATCTAGTTTCAATAATTAGTACATAGGAAATAAATTTTGATTATTCAAATGTAAATTCTCAGAAGTTAATTGACTACATATTTAAGTCAAGGTTTGGTTAGATGAACGAAAATTTTGGTCGCCCAAGCACAACAAAACCGAGGCAGGACGACGATGTTACCGATAATTATAATTCACACAGCTTTACTCACGTTAATAATTTATGTGTAATAGACCAAGATTAAACGGATGAGACAAGTTCAGGTTTGATAAAGGGTTCAAATATAATTGATGTCGCGATCCAAGTCCAGATTAAAACGGCGACCCCAAAGAAAATTAGTTTTTAGAGTTAGAATGTATTGCGCAGATGTGAAGAATGACATTATGAACATTAGTAATAATTGCCTAACCTATGGGGAAGTGTCTGCCTTGCCTTCTTATCGATCGCGTTTTAAACGATCGCTTTCAAGGTTTTGATCTAAGGGAACTAAAACTTCGACTAACAAATCTAATCTTATTAATGCGACGAGGGTTTTAGTTAAATTTTATCACAACTATGTGGCGTGGGCATAAATAAATCATTAAAGATGTGGCGAGGCCAAATTAAATCATTGTACCTCTGACGAAGGATAGAGTAAATCATTCAAGTTGCGTCGAATGCTCAAATAAATCATTATAGATGAGGCGAATAATAAGTCATTAAACTCTTAGACGTGGCGAGGGCATAGATATATCACTCGATATATCGTGAGGGCTAAAGTAATTCAACATATTGGCGTCTCGAGGTATAGAGGGGCCTCTTCTTCCATGCAGAGAAGAGAAGACGCTCCGACGCTGAAATAATTTCCTCAATATTTCATGTTTTTGCTTCCATAGTTTGTAAAATCTGACAACAAAATTTAATTGAAAATCGAAGGAAAGTGGAACGGGCGACGGCCGACGCTTACACGGCGGGAGGGGCGGCGCCAGCGAGACGCATGGCTTCGTCGTAGCGCGGCAGCAGCGGCTCGTCGTCGTCACCAGGGGCGCCGCCCTCCTGAAGGCGCATTAATAAATCAGCCAAACATGCAGTGTAAGCACCACAAACATTAGCCAAACACTGCAGTGTAAGCACCACAAACATTAGCCAAACAATGCAGTGTAAGCACCACAAACATTAGCCCAACCATGCAGTGTAAGCACCACAAACATTAGCTTAACAATGCAACAATGCGATGGAATCTAACATTTTATAAGCTAGGAAATTAATAAGCTAACAACTGAATGTAAGTTAGCATTTTAGCTAGGAAATAAATAAGCTAAAAATTGAAAGTAAGTTAGCGTTTAGTGAGCCAGAATATTAGTGGGGGGCAGATAGGGTGGAATATAACAAGCCATCAGCTGGGTTCAATAAGCCAAAAACTTGATCGAATTGAAGACCTCTATAAAACGAGAAAATCAATAATACAAATTACTTGATGCTAAAAAGGAAAAATTAGGAACATTTGAATGTTTGCGGTGCAAGAAAATAAACTGACGAATGTTACCAATAGAAATAAATCAATTACAATAACAAAGGTAACATCGTTTGATTCGTTTCCTTGATGAACATTTGTTGTACTAGAAATTCAAAAGATTACTGGCGAAGAGTTAAGGAAGAGGTTCGTGTAAAAAGGTTCAATATAGGATGAAGCATGCATCCATCATCATAATAGGGTCCGTTAGCTGTAGGTTAAACATTTTATGACTACCAAATTTTATGTTTGAACTTATCACTCATGAAAGGAACAATTTGATGAAATTGAACAGAAACAAATGAACTGTTGAGAAAGTTGTGAGCAAGCTATTATTTAACCTAAGTTAAGAAATTACACTTAGAAGACACAAAATTCGTACTAAAAATTGTCCATTTGCTTTGTTTCTTGCCGGTAACTGCTGTTATTACCAAGATTTTCATTGAATTTGAATATAAGTTGAGAGAATGCATAAATGGATAAGAAAGCATTTAGAACAACATGTAATTTTTCAATCCCAGCATAGACTAGTGACTAATTTCAAATGGATAAAATATAATGTTTGCACAGAAGTTCGCGAGTAGGTAATAGGATTTTCCAAAAGAGTATCAATAAAAAACTAAATTAAACCTAAAAACAAAACATTGTGTTCAATTCAAGTGACAAATATCCTTCAAACCAAAAAGTCATTGCTGAAACAAAACAAATTTTAGGTGGAAATACTAAGTAAACATCATAAAAAAGTTACTTTCAAGTACTTCCACATTAATTGAAAAAACAGAAAAATTATTCCTGGTGTTAGAAATTCCTTAAACCTTGAGGCATCGTTTAAGCGGATATTCCTATTATGAAAATTAAACATTAGTAAACTTAGAATTTACCTCTGAAGAACTAGAGATTAATTAAATCAATGTCGCCTCTACTGAAGACTATTGAACACTACTGAACTCAAATGAAAGTGTTCAATAGTGGCTATTGAAGACTATTGAAAGTATTAGTGAATAATGAATAGTGAATGTAAAATAAGTTAGACCAGTTCAAACCATCTGAAGGTTTGAACTGGTCATACTTTCAAACCTTCACCAGTTCATACTTTCACTATTGAAAGTATTAGTGAATAGTTGAATAGCGAAGGTAAAACAATTCATCCCTTCAGTTGAAACCATCTCAAGGTTCATCGCACCTGCCGAGCGTTGCTGGCAGCAGCAGTGCCAGGCTGGGGGTGCTGCTCCGAGGCACTCAGTGCCACTGCCATGGCCACGTCATACGAAGGAGGAGGCTCTGGGTAAGCGCCTGATGCCTTCAGCCTGACAAATTAAATCATTAAATGAATTATCCTTTACACATAGATTGTCAAACATATCAAGAACTCTATATTCAGTAGTGCATTGGCGGATAAAGCAAGAACTTTATCTCCTACTACACATCTCTTGGCAATAATTTATTACTCTCTGCCTGTGTATCTCAAGTCGCCTTTGTATTTTTTATGTCTGTGTTCAATGTAAATCTGATTTCTTTTCAAGTCATCGACATATAGCAAGCGATTTATTGTCAAGATTTTCCCTCCCTTGATATTAGTTACAAGTCACTTGTTATGCAGACACTCAATAAAGTTTTCAGCTTCATATTGTCCCGGGGCCAAACTTTCAAAACTCGCTAAGTGAACGTAAGTACTTACGCTCTGTTTTCTTGTCTATGATTGGTGAATTTTGCTTGAAAGGCCGCCAATGATTGGCTGATGAACTTACGATCTCTTGACTTTTTTGAAAGTATAGGCCCCGGAAAAGTTGTTGTGAATTAATGCAATTAATATATAATATAATTAACCTCAATTAACCTTATACATACAAATTGAACCTCTTACAGGTATTGCACATCGACTTGCTGGGCTTGGCCGGCACTCCGTTGATCCATTCAAGCTTAACATAGAACGGCACACTAAGTAAGCTAAAAGAATAGAATATGAGTACTACTAGAAATAAATAATACAAAGGCCGAATCAAAATAGAACTTCAAAGAATCATGATCCAATTGATCGTAACAAACACACAAAGAATTTGTGGGGGGCCAGTTTCTGGTCAGAATCGGCGAGGAGGCCGGGCGGTTAAGCACAGCAGAATTGTAGCAGTGAGTTGCGAGTTCGAGACCGCAAAATGCTGTGAATGTTCTACGATGTTAAGAATCGGCGACAGGCCCACGGCCTAAGAACGCTGAAACCGCTATTATTATATTATTATTATTATTATGAAGTGACCTGTAGTCCTGTTCCAGCAGCCACTGCGTGCAGTACTCAGAAGCAGGCGGGTTGCGAGAGTTCCTGCCTCCTGCAGAGCACCTGCCACCTCCTGCAGCAGCTGAGCAGAGCTGCACAGCAGCAGCAGAGCTCATGGCAGCGGTGGCAGCCGTGCGCAGCAGCAGCAAGTACTTGTAGCATCGCCAGATGATGTTGATGCAGTAAGCCTGTAGTTCAGATCATCATTTTTTATTTGTTCAGTTGATCATTACATGGACTACAGATATTTATTCAACATTAACTAGAAAAATTTTTTCATTTGCATTGAAAGGAAAAATTAAAGGTATAAAAATTTTTTACAGATCAGGATTATTAGAACAACTTTTATATAATAAATAAGATTTTTCTTTGAGCATCTACAGCCTCAGATATTCTGCCTAAAACTTGAGTTAAATAAAACTTGATTTTTTTTGTCTCAAACCTTGAAACCGCGGCATCTTTACCTTGGTTTTGGCAGACAGGAACATGAAGAGCTCGATCACTTTACCTTGATCAAGAAGACGGACAGGAACATGAAGAACTTGATCACTTTACCTTGATCAAGAAGACAGACAGGAACATGAAGAACTTGATCACTTTACCTTGATCAAGAAGACAGAGAGGAACATGAAGAACTTGATCACTTCACCTTGATCAAGAAGACGGACAGGAACATGAAGAACTTGATCACTTCACCTTGATCAAGAAGACGGACAGGAACATGAAGAGCTCGATCACTTCACCTTGATCAAGAAGACGGACAGGAACATGAAGAGCACGAAGAAGGTGAGGCAGTTGGTGCTCATGTTGAGGAGGGAGTCACGGAACGGAAACGCTGGAGTTTCTTGCAGCATCTCACGTAGGCTGGACACGTGCGTCACGTAGCTCATCATCGTCATGCTGCACGTGAGTGAGGATAAATTAGCAACCGCAATAACGGCAAGTAGGAATATGAAGGCAAGGTAACGTATACGAGTGTCTTGCTTGCAGGAAGCTTTGCTTAGAATTAGAATATCCAAATTAGTAAGTGTGTGAGGATATAAAATCTGAGTGGGTGGGTGGAAACTTTAGTTTGTTTGAAGTAGGTTAACATAAAGAGTGGATATGAGCAAGTGTTTGGTATAACACATGTTAGTGTGAACGTAACTATACGGCAGCAGCATTTACAAGACATGGTATTGTGCATGCTCATTTTTAACCAAAGCACGAGACACATGTTTGAAACAAAGCATAGTTATGTTCATATATGCAGCATAATCAACATATGAATAGAAGTAACAGGAAATGAATAAATCAAATACTTAAGAAAGAACGTTGCATTAATTTAGAGTTTTTAATGCATGTTTACCCTAAAGGTTAAACAACAAAGAAACAGAAACACAATTTACAAATTTCAACATCGAGTGAGCATCAAAGTTGTATGAAGTGTCACCTGGAGATGCAGAAGTCGAAGACTTGCAGGAAGAAGAAGGGCATGAGGTGGGAGGGCTGACGGCGATGCAGCGCGTAGAACAGCAGCAGCGTCACCAGCAGCGTGCACACCGTGATGAACATGGCCAGGCTCACCTCCTCTGTGGTGAACAACGTACAAATACTGTGATGAACTATGGCATGTTCACCTCTGTGGTGAACAACCTTCAAATAAATGCCTTCTCATTGCTGAGAACTTACTATTATTTGTTACTTGATATCAAGAATGAATGAACCTTCGTTTCCTTTAAATTTGAAGAAAAGTTTTCAGAAAAAGGGTGGTCTGAATTTCTTTTCTCATACAAGCGTTTGATATTTTAAGAAATGTTAATAAGAACAAGAAAACTGGTTATTAATGGTTGGTATAGAAGATAAGGTTAATAATGAAGGGAAGGTTTATACTTTATAGTAATGGGAAAGACGACTGTAGGAAGTCGTTGATAATGAATTGAAAGTTCGTGGTGATAAGAAGATTGGCTACGTTGACAAGGTTGAACATGAGAGAATATTTCAACTGACAAACAACTTTTAGATGAGAGAAAGTAATCTATTTATTTCTAGATACCGGTACATTTTAAAGTGAAGTGAATGAAGTGGGTCATAATGGAATGAAGTATGCAAGTTACCAGAGTCGAGTTGATGAGAGGAGAGCAGGTTGCCGAGGGCAAGAGGGAAGTCCGGCGCCACGTGAGGGTAGCGAGCATCAGGCAGCGATGCCATCGAGCAGGGCATATGGGTGCAGTTCACGGCCTGTACCAACATACATATCATTAATCCTGTTCAGTTCATGGTTCTTAAATGCAATTTTTGTATGTCTTGTTTGCCAGGAGGAATGCATGTTAAGAACAATATTTGGTTTCAAGGCCAATTTAGTTAACCATTCACGTTTTGTTCTGGTGCTGAAACTCGAGTATAGAGAAGGAAATGTAGGTATTGCACATGAGTTTTAATTCTGAAGATTTATTAGATCATGCCAAACTGATATTATGTTGGGTGCAAGTTTGAAAAGAATCATTTTCATTTAAGTCATACATTCTGAGCAATGTCAATTTTATGCAAGCATTTCCAATATTGTATATTGCTTGTTTTTACAACACCGATTTAAATAAGCAAATTGCAAAATATAGTGTATTTAAACCCTTGGCAAACAAGTGTATGAATCAAATTCTATATAGTTTTGATACAAAAACTTTGTGATTGTCAAGAGTACATAACCTCTAATGCTATAGAGTCAAACACAAGATTAATAGCAAGTGCAGTAATTGGATAGAATATCAACTTCCCAACCATTTATATGAAATAGCATAAAATAGGTATTAGTGATGTTAACACTAAATAGTACCTATGGATATCTAGTAAAACACAAGAATTCTAGAAATAAATACCAGAAAAATATATATGTAGGTTTCTATTATTACAATTTTTACTTTCTACTAATGGTAAATTTACACAAGCACTTGCGTGCATGAGCAGTCCTTAACTTAGTTCCTCAGCATTGATATAATGTTGTCAAAAGCCTTCAAATGGAGGCATGACAAACCTACATGTCTTGCTCCTTGCCTATGTTATCAAAAGCCTTCAAATAGAGGCATGACAAACCTACATGTCTTGCTCCTTGTCTATAATGATGTCAAAAGCCTTAAAATGGAGGCATGACAAACCTGCATGTCCTGCTCCTTGCCTATGCCAAAGATGCGCTCATTTTTAATGTTGTTGCGCCACTGCATCCGAGCGGTGAGGTCAGGTGACCGCAGCAGCTCAGGGTATAGCAGCGCCAGGCTCAGCAGAGACAGCGCCAGCAGGTGAAGCAACTGCAACAATTATTCAACTTAATGCAACAATTATTCAACTTAATTCAACAATTATTCAACTTAATGCAACAATTATTCAACTTAATGCAACAATTATTCAACTTAATGCAACAATCATTCAACTTAATGCAACAATTATTCAACTTACTGCAACAATTATTCAACCTAATGCAACAATTATTCAACCTAATGCAACAATTATTCAACCTAATGCAACAATTATTCAACCTAATGAAACAATTTTCAACTTAATGCAACAATTTTCAACTTAATGCAACAATTATTCAAGAAACAACAACAATTTTTCAATAGCTGCCAAAAGTATTCAACAACTGCACCAAAAATTCAACTCACCACTATCAAGAGATTGAACAATTTCCCATATTACACTTGTCATTCAACATCATGACAAACTAGGTAGGTCAAATAAATGAAATATTTTTACATAAGAAGATAAATTGTTGAGAAACATTCAAATGTGTAAAATTTAGCTATAACCTGAGTATTACTCTTTAGTACTAGCAATCAAAAATATAGATTAGTTTTCTCAAGAAACCTAATAGGTAAACTATATATATTTTAATACAGCATTAATTTTTGGTAAGCTCAATAATAGAATTTGTTCTAATAGATTCATTCTGCAAGAAGAAGTCATTCAAAATAAGAACACTAGCAAGTTTGAACAACAAAAGTCACAACATACATGACACTATGGCAGTATACCTATATATTATCTATTTCTCCAATGATAGTAAATTTGACATCTGTAATATTAGATTATGGACATAGGAGCATTGATGATCCAGCCTCACCACATGCCAGATGGCAATGAATGCCGTGCCCGTGGTGACATGGCAGCAGAAAAAGCAAGTCCATCGTCCATGACGTGTCTGCAAACGCCTCAATCTCCTGCAATTTGTATAGGAGCAATATTGTAATTTCAGTACTTTGACCAAATTATAAATTTCAATTGTCACAAGCCTCATGATACAAATAAATGGCTTGCAATACAATCTCATATTAAAATATACTTCTTTCCTCTCTTGATATAAACTAGAAGACTTAAGGTAAGGAACAAGAGGCAGATTAAAGCATAATGAATATACCTACCTAGCATTTGTTTCCATAAATGGACCTAGTTCTTGTCACCCCTTGCTTTATTATTATTTAAATTAATTAATTGATCATCAGATTTAGAATAGATTATCCACAATAGATAATAAATTTGAAGCAAATAAATATTTTGAAACATTTAGAATAGATAAAAATACAAAAAATAACTTACCCAGCAACAGACAGCATCATTGTCTGACTGTCACACTCGCTCTGATGCACATCTCTTGCACAAGATCTTCCGCTGCTTGTCCCAGCAGCACTGACATCAGCCTCAGGAGGATTGGAGCCATCAGTTACATCACTTCCAATGCTAATAACTGTATCTGGTGCAGTGGCATCAACCACAGGCCAACTAGATGGTGCATCAACAGCATTGGTCACTTCAGAGGCATCAGTAGCAACAGCAGTGGCATCATTTGGTGAAGATATCCCAGGTGTAGCATCTACTGTAGCACCATGTGCAGTTGAAGTAGTCTCAGCTGGTCCAGTATTTTGAAAGTCTCCAGCCATCATTTAATGAACAATAATTTTCAATTGATGTTGGTGAACTGTTAAGTTTAGAACTTCAAGCTTAAAGCTGTAAAAAAATATATTTTTTGAGTTAAGCACACATGAAAGTTATGAGCAATCTGAGTCAGAGTGAAGAGATTCAATTTTAAATCCTCACTATAAATAATATCCATGCAATTAACCAGAATTCACATATAGGTAATAAAAGCCAAAATTATTAGAGAATTTTTTTCCTGTGGTTCTTTTTGCAAAAAATTAAATTAATTCATACAAATGTTACACAAACTAATATGTAGACTGATATGCTATGACTCAAGTAATTGGGTGTGCCTGGGCTCATACTGTCATTAAGGAACTAATTTTTGGAAACACATATACTGCTGATATGCATTGGACATTGTGGAACTCAGGAGTGGAGAATATTTACTTTCCCGACTACACCTTGAGCTTTCATTCCATTGTTGTAGATCAAAGTTTCTTGCTAATCAATATTGGACATATTGTCTATGAAATCTCTTAACTTCAAAATCTCATATTTTTAGTGAATCAGAAATCCTTGTGACTCCAAAGTATGATCTCTTAATTTGACTTGAAATTGCCTGGCTAGTAATTGAATTTGTTTCAAGGAAATATGAAGTGCTACAGTTCTTCACCATGCACCTCAGCTCTTGCTCAAAATATTAACTTGATTATCATGTCAGAGAAATTGCTCACAGCAATGCAACTATGATGCATCTTCGACAAAACTTAATATGTTACGATACATTGCCTCTAATGTGAAGCCAAACCATTTTGTTGCTATTTTTAGAGTGAATTTAGAGACGTGTCACTGTTGGCTGCGCAGAATTAACCTGTGAATCGGATCAAAGCACATAAATCTTTCCAATTCCACCTGTTCCTATTGCCTTTTCCTTCTTTCTTCAGTGAAAAGTAAAAAATTGCCTATTTTTCCCTGCAATTTTTTAAAGTTACTCATGAGTCATGATTGAAAAGATTGCTTTTACCTCCAATCTTTTCACTCATGAGTAACTTTAAAAAATTGCAGGAAAAAATAGGCAATTTTTTACTTTTCACTGAAGAAAGAAGGAAAAAGCAATAGGAACAGGTGGAATTGGATAGATTTATGTGCTTTGATCTGATTCACAGGTTAATTCTGCGCAGCCCAATACAAATACTTCAGTAAGTAAGGCTCCCCATAACCTAAGCAGTCACCTGTGAGGCTGTGAATCCAATAAAAAAAGCCTGTGGATCTGGCAAATTTTACCTGTTACCATGGCTAATTGGCTATCATTACTTTTTCCAAATATCTTCAGCAAAAATTGGTAAAAACGGCCTATCATTTCCTACAATTTAAAAAAAATCACCTGCAAAACAGACATTTCTACCTGCAATTTTAGGAACATTTTGTCAGATATAACAAATTGGCCATTATAATAACTTTTAAGGAATGTTTAACTTTGAAATGTTACTTTATTAAAAGTGTGTCATTAAAAAGTGTGTCATTCCTTAACCAACCACTGGCAACCACTCAGACAACCAGTAACCAGAAACAAACCTCCATCCATCCCTTTCCCTGGCGCAGAACTAAGACAATTTCACACAGTTGACTGCTCACTGCTGCTGCATTATATGGTTGAACCCACTGCCCACATCCTCCCAAATGGGGTCATAAGTCACAATTCACTGCGCAGGTCTGTGCCAATTCTTGTGCTCTGAACTATCACTATTGCTACTTGACCAAGCTGGTCTTTATAGGAACCACGCTTTGAAAAAATTCCACTATGGACCAATCACCGTAGACCTATACAAGTCAGTATCATGAATATGACTATGATACACTCATTGCATGATTGCACATTGCAGTGGTGATGGTCTCATTGTGTCTTGTGAGACCATCACCTCATTTTAAGCTAATAGCCTATTTTAAATTGTATCCACAACCCACTATACCATTGATATGTACTACTACTACTACTACTAGGGGTAGGGCCTACCCACTGTGCAGAGAGTGGATGAATATTGCAAGATCTTTGGCGATGCTTCAGTAGCCAAATTTTCGCCTTCACAAGATCTTGCCGACACATTTAGATTGAAATTCTTGCATTTAATATATTTCTCAGTCTTCGGCCAACTATTTAGAAAAAAAGTAAGGTTTCCGGTACGTTGGATGGATTACGATGCAGCGAAGCTTGTCCGGAAATCAGTTGCGATGAGTTCCCGCAAAAAATGTAAACAACGTTTTTTCGATTGCGTAGTTTCGGTCACATTAGAGCCTGTCTCTTATACACATCTAGATGTGTATAAGAGACAGGTCTAGCTGTCTCTTGAAGGTCTCCAGGGTGAACTCCCCCTCTCTTAGATCCCTTGGTAGGGCGTTGAACAGCCTTGGTCCTGCCACGGAGAGTGATCCTTCTCACAGGGATTGAAATCTGACTGCGGATCTGTTACGCAGGGGAGGGATCTTGCACAATGCACAGTCTCCCCCTTCTCTCGTTGTGATATGCCTGAATCTTGAAGGTCTCGCTCTCGAAGTTGTAACACAACATAGCATAACACAAGATACTATATCAGATCACATTATAACACAACCTTATATAATAGAATACATCATAACATAAAAAATTAAAACACAACAGAACACAGGCAAACAGAACATAATATAATACAATATATTATGTTGCATTATAATGTGATGTGTTATGTTATGTTGTTATACTGTGCTATGTTAT